TTACATATAAGCGGGAAATGTCACAGTGTGAATTTGGTTACTGTCGCTGTTTTCTTTAGACAAGGCCAAAAAACACATTTGCATTTGTTTTGTATATTCTGAAATGCAGGTCTTGTGTTGCTTTTGTTATGCCCTATCTAACACCATCTGGAGCCATACAAATGTCTGGGGTCTCTTAGCAATGTAATTCATTACACTTAAAAAATATATATATATATATATATATTTTTTTTTTTTGCAAACCTTACTCTATTTTTACTTAATTTGTTTGTATCGAGAGCTAAAGCAATTTACTTGAGACTTCTTGTTACTCACATGGTAATGAATTCTGAATGCGACCCCTGGACCCTTCCCCACTATGGACCTCACACTGTCCACTTGACTATAAGGGCTAGATTAATGAATGTGAGTTTGTCAATACATCAGGCTACAATACTTTGATCTGGTTTCTGTTCAGTTCAGGCCAAACACAGGGTTCTTTCTTAGGTATGCCTGTTTATATATAAACCTGTTCTAGTTTGTTCTGTTTTTACTTTGGGGCACAACCATCATGCATTTTTCACGCAAGGGAAAATGTATGTAGCCCAGCTTTATTTTGGCGAGTTTGCTTCAGGATGAGACACGGGGGAGACATGGACACTCCCTGAGGCTTCGTAGTCCAGCTCTGTTTCTTACTGCGGTGTATTATTTGCATGCACAGGTTACACAAAGACGCACATTTGCAACGAGCAAAGAATAGTCCCGTGCGCGTGTGTACGGTCCGTGCCGGGAACATTTGACCCCTTCATGGCTACGCGTGTTATTATAGATCTACATTGTTGTCAATGTAGCCTCTGCCGGTCCCCTCCACCCCGGCCCACCACAACATGACGATATCCCAATGTGGCCCCCAGCAGAAAATGATTGCCCTCCCCTGGTCTATAAAGGGCAAAAGTCATCCTCTGGACCAAGTTCTCAGCAGGAGACATTTGGCTTCCATAGATAGATACTTTATTGATCCCCATTCAAATATTACCGGGCACTGTTGGAAACCCGCAAACTTTACATGCTGCCTCCAACGTCGAGGTACAAACTCTCCAATCAGCGAATGAAGAGCGTTACAGTCTCTCTCAAAATGTTTGTTGTGAAATAAATTCATTCGCACTCCTTACTATGCCGCAAGAAATATGATATATTTATGTGTAAAAAATGTAAGCCTGAGAAAAAACACTGAAAATGATGTTCGGCCCCTGACCACAAGTGGCCCTCAGGAGGAGAGAAGCCTGTGTCTACTATAGTCTCATTCCATTCTTAACAATAGTCACTACTTTCTTGACCTGAAACTCCAGTTTTGTGGTCAAGGTTTATATTAAATTAATCCGATAATGAGTTTACATCCCAGGGACCAGACTGGTGTCCCTACACGTTATCAGGGTGTACAAATGTTCAACAGCGGCGGTTCAAAAGAGGCCAAGTGTGAATGGAGATGCCAGCTCACTAAAGCGTCCCTGTGGACGTGGCCTGGATCGGATGGGAGTGTGCAGACCGTGGCCTGCTTCCTGCAGCGCTCCTCCTTGTTTTTGTTTGTGAACATTTCAAAGATTCTAAAGCTGCAGCTAACAATTCATTTCTTATCAATTTAATTTGTTTTTGTTATTAGGATACATGAAAATATGATTATTTTTAGTGCTGAATATTCTCCCTTCTCTTCTGTAAGTTTCAGGCTAGTGATACAGTGGAAAGGCAAATGTAAAGGCAGTTACCTCATGTTGCCCTCGCTCAGTGCAGCAGGCTCTAAAGCTTTACACTGCAGCAGTGACGGCTTCTTCTACATGTACGGGACTTCTAAATTTACGGATTTATATAAATGTATGTACTTTACACAAGGCACACAAGTATTCTTCACAATCCGCACATGTGGACACATCTCGCTCCACTCGTGAAAGAAGTGGCCGGGATAAGGAACTCTAAGGTTTAGATGTGAGAGCAGAGGGTGTTGGACTTGGCCCCTGTGCTCCATGTGTCTCTGGAGCCACTTTGCTCCTGGTCACAAACCTCTCTCTCGCTGCTCATTCGTTCTCTCTGTGGCCTGTGACGTGTGTGCACCTTTTTCAGCGGTGACACACCTGTTTCATTGGAAACAAAACAATCGCATGTGATTGTTTTGAAACTGAAACTGATTCAAACCTCAAACTCTGCAGTCTTTATTAACAAGTTATTCTCATTAAATTGTTTTTCGGTCTTTAAGTCTCTGCTTTTTTCCTGCTTTTTGAAGGCTGCATCTTATAGTTTTTGATTTTTTCTGGTGTACAAAAAACATTTTGCCAAGTAACAGTAGACCAACAGAATGGACGAGTAGTTCAGAGGTCAATCAAGCAGATTAAATAAAGTTTAAAAGTCCTCACTCATAAAATCTTTTTATAAATATCTCAATATAGATTTTTGGTTCTCTTTATAGACATGAAAGTGAAGAGATGCTGCTCCTTCCCTCAAGAGTTTTACTCACAGTAAAAAGAAGACATGATGAAAGTTTTTGAGCTACATTTTTGAATATTATAATGTGGGACAGGTGCGGCTTGTTCAAGAACGTAATTCAATGTCTTTCTAAAAATCTATGATCAGGTGAAGCTTATTGTCTGGACAATACGGTATATAGAAAAACAAGCACACAAAAAAGTCTTTCCAATCTTATCTTATTTTCCCCTTTATTTTATCCAAACTAGTGATATTAGATCATTCCCAATGTTTGTTTTGCCAATTCCCAGGTACAACAGACACCTCAAGGCACACTAACGCTAACCACTATCACTGAAATGAAGACATGTTCTCTACAGGAACATTTATATTGCCTTATGTTTAATCTTTAGTAATGATTTTGCGAATGAACTGTATAATAAAGATCCCTTGGTGACATAAATAAAAAAGCAGAGAAAAACACAATAGATTTTCTTACAAAGTAGAAGGCACAGATGAAAGCAACGTTTCCCCCGTCCCTAGGAATGTCTTGGTGAGTTCAGTCTTCAGACTCTTTGATTTCACGCTGTCTTCTCTTCTCCCCGTGCAAACCTCTGGGCCTCTACTGTATCTCTTGATCTGATCTCCATTAGCCGACCCTGGAGCTCAAACTCAAGGTAAGTTAAGCTGTGATGTTGCTCAAAGGAATGGCCCGTATCTGCTTGGCTCATGGACAGCTCATCTCACGGCTTGTTGGATTTACTCACATCACACCTTGATTTACACTTGTGTGTAAAATGGTCATGTGAAGTAAACATATCTGTCATTGGCTGTTTGGCGAGCTTCGTAACACTTCAACATTTGTCTAGCTCCACATAAGTTTGTAAGGTTTTACATTGATAATGAGCGTCTGCTGCTACACTCAAAGCAAAGTTAAAACTAACGCTGCACATCATTGGAAACAAAAGCAATAGTCGTGTCAAAGATGCATCTTATTTTCTTTTTCACATTGATTTATAGCTTTTGTTTAATGCAAATATTTCAAAAATGTGTAAATAAATGTTTACATTTGAATGAATTGCTTTGTTTCATTTTGTAAAAACATTATTTTTGTTTTTCCCTTCTGGCTTCAGGATAACTGTTCTAGGAAGGAACAGTTGTTTTTTACTGCTCTGATTTTCCCTTGGATCTCGTGAGTGTGTGCGCTCGCTCTGGCTGTTACCAAGCGAGACTTTTGCAAAGGAAAAGGCACTTGCAGAAGAGTGACGAGCTCAAACAATGCATTTTTTCTTATGCTATTATCTGGCTGCAGAAGTTGTCAGCTCCTCCAAAGTCCTCCCGAGGCACATGAGTAGTTTGTGATCAGTTCTCTTCTTATTTGGGTTCTTGGTTTAGGTGGAGGGCCGTCTCGGTAAGTTTGCAGTGGTGCCATCTTTGCAACTTAATTCTGCTGCAAACTCCACAACTTCAGCCCTGACCTTTCCGGTTCCTTGGCCTTTATGATGCTGTTTAGTGACAAACACACAGTAAACATAGCTCTGGGGGAACAGCTGTCATTTCACTGAGAGGACAGTGCACAGATGTGAGTCTTCAGTGTCAGCACATTTTCAAAGTCAATGTGGGATGCAAGCCCTATTGTTCAGTTTATATTACAAAGTTTGTGTAAGCGCTCAGTCATACAGGGAAGTCAAAGCAAAGGAAGGTGTCTCACCCATCGTCTTGATGGGTGAGAAACCTTCCTTTGCTTTATATTACAAAGTTCACATTGTCATGGTACTTCTCAAAGCCACTGTAACATGTTTTGACTTCTTGTTTTCCCACAAATGCCTGAATAAGACTGGACTTAGTCGTTCTATCTGTGAATATTTTAAAGTTGTAAAAAGTGCAAACTAAAAGCAAACAAACTGGTTTCACTCAGGCTCTATGTAACAGACATGGGGACAAGGAAGTTGAACCGGCCGAAGATGGCAGAGCATTCCACATGCTGGAACGGGACTGTTCCTGTCTTTAATGTCTCATTTTAAGAATAGATCATGGACAATTCTTGAGAGGATTGTCATGGGTGTACACAGTCACAGGAAGAGCCTACAAAAAGTGACCCTGTGGTGCCGGGGTTTTCACAAATATAAAACCCAGCACTAGAATTTGATTCATTTGCGTAAGTGTCGATAGAGAAGTGCATAGACAAAATTTGACCTACTGTGAAAAGTTTTGCCAATATTATTTTTCACTATCAAAATTATTGTTAAACCAAATTTGTATTCAAATAATTGCTTACATAATAGAAATTGACTTGTGACAACACTACACAACTAGATACTAGACAAGTTTGGTGATAATCAAGTTGGGGGTTTTTTTCTCACTGGTGTAAAGCTGTTTGTATGAAGCCTATTCAATGTTTTTGACAAGGTAGTTCCATGCTTTGTAAATTATACTCACTTGTGTACTTCTATGTCAGATGTCGGTATGCCCAGCTCTGTGCGTCTATCGTTTGTCTTGTGTGTTCTCTCCTGTCTGACAGAAAATGTACAAGCTCTGATCGTGTGTGTGTGTGTGTGTGTCTGCAGGAGCCCAACAGCGGACCCCCCACTCTTGTGACGCTCAAAGTGGACCCTGATGGATTCTTCCTTTACTGGACTGGAGGCTCCAGCCTGGTACTTACACACACACACACACACACACACACACACACACACACACACACACACACACACACACACACACACACACACACACACACACACACACACACACACACACACACCTCTTCCACTTTAAATGTTTGAATCAACGACATGTCTTTGAGGTGTTTCAGTGTGGTTTTCGCAAATGGAGTTCGTACCACAGACTGTACCGTTCGTTCTGATGTTTTCTGCTTGTCACCAAAAAAAAAACTATTTGATTTTTATCATTGCTCAGATATTTTTTCCTTGTACGCCAACTCCTTCCTACCCCAACTAAAAAACGAGTGACGGGGTTGAAAACTAAGACCTCAATCGTGCTGCTCTGTAATAATCAAAGTTGCTTGAGTGTTTTCCAAAGCGCTTTTACTGTGTGTGTGATAAACTTTAAAGCTGGAATTGCCAATAAAAACGTTCGAGTTTTAAGACGAAGTCACAAGACTCCTCTGAAAGTTAAATCAAACTTGAGCCTGCATGTATACTGAGTAGAGTGGTCTGCATGTATACTGAGTAGAGTGGTGTATGTATACTGAGTAGAGTGGTGTATGTATACTGAGTAGTGTGGTCTGTATGTAAACTGAGTAGTGTGGTCTGTATGTATACTGAGTAGTGTGGTATGCATGTATACTGAGTAGAGTGGTGTGCATGTATACTGAGTAGTGTGGTCTGTATGTATACTGAGTAGTGTGGTATGCATGTATACTGAGACGAGAGTGGTCTGCATGTATACTGAGTGGTCTGCATGTATACTGAGTGGTCTGCATGTATACTGAGTGGTCTGCATGTATACTGAGTGGTCTGCATGTGTACTGAGTAGTGTGGTCTGTATGTATACTGAGTAGGGTGGTCTGTATGTATACTGAGTAGGGTGGTCTGTATGTATACTGAGTAGTGTGGTCTGTATGTATACTGAGTAGAGTGGTCTGCATGTATATTGAGTGGTCTGCATGTATACTGAGTGGTCTGCATGTATACTGAGTGGTCTGCATGTATACTGAGTGGTCTGCATGTATACTGAGTGGTCTGCATGTATACTGAGTGGTCTGCATGTATACTGAGTGGTCTGCATGTATACTGAGTGGTCTGCATGTATACTGAGTGGTCTGCATGTATACTGAGTAGAGTGGTGTATGTATTCTGAGTAGAGTGGTGTATGTATTCTGAGTAGAGTGGTCTGTATGTATACTGAGTAGTGTGGTCTGCATGTATACTGAGTAGAGTGGTCTGCATGTATACTGAGTAGAGTGGTCTGCATGTATACTGAGTAGAGTGGTCTGTCTGCATGTATACTGAGTAGAGTGGTCTGTCTGCATGTATACTGAGTAGAGTGGTCTGTCTGCATGTAGACTGAGTAGTGTGGTCTGTCTGCATGTAGACTGAGTAGTGTGGTCTGTCTGCATGTAGACTGAGTAGAGTGGTCTGCATGTAGACTGAGTGGTCTGCATGTATACTGAGTGGTCTGAGCAGTTGCATGTGGAGAAGGGTCTGCCATGCTCTTGTTTACTCCTGCGCTTACTTTGTTTAACTCGTAAAAACCCTCACAAGTGCATTAGTGACTATGACTGTTTGTTGTATCCATGGAGACGGTGCTGTCATTTACAAGGTGGACCCGGGCATGTTGGCAACACTGCAATGGGATGAGCTTTACCTATTTTTAGAAAACCGAATTGACCTTTTTTATGATAAACATTGCAGTTTGATTTGCGGTGTTCTGTGTAAATAGTTGGACTTTATTTTCTTCTTTGTCCACACTAATATCAGGAAGTTCTGGCACGGCACATTTTAGCACATTTCATTCTGCAGTTATTATAGAATATATATACATAAGTCATTTAAAAAAAAACTCTTTTCAGCATGTTTAAGTCTATGGAAGGTTCAAAAAATCACTTATTGATTACTGCATTTCATTTCAATAATATATTTGTTGAAATTCATTTTTTTTCTTTTTTCTTTTGCTACATCTGGCGAATGAATGTAAAATGTTGAAATGTTACAAGTTGAAATGCCTGGATGTTTGGATTGAACCGAAACTGGATGGTGATGTATCTTTCATGTTCCCGTAGAAACTCTTACGTTCACAAGTGAATAATAATTACCTAAGTGTTCGCAAACCCTTGATTAGGAAACACTCCTTTTGTCAAGGACCATATTGTTCGACCTGGATCCAACTCTTGTGTCTGTGTCTCGTCTGTGTGTATTTGTGTGTGTCCGTGTCTCTCTCGTATAACTGTAATGTGCTTGTTTTGTTGTGCGTGTTTCGTGTGTGTGTGTGTGTGTGTGTGTGTCTGTGTGTGTCCGTGTCTCTTTGTACGACTGTAATGTGCTTGTTTTGTTGTGTGTGTTTCGTGTGTGTGTGTGTGTGAGTGTCTGTGTGTGTCCGTGTCTCTCTCGTACGACTGTAATGTGCTTGTTTTGTTGTGCGTGTTTCGTGTGTGTGTGTGTGAGTGTTTGTGTGTGTCCGTGTCTCTTTGTACGACTGTAATGTGCTTGTTTTGTTGTGTGTGTTTCGTGTGTGTGTGTGTGTGTGTGAGTGTCTGTGTGTGTCCGTGTCTCTCTCGTACGACTGTAATGTGCTTGTTTTGTTGTGTGTGTTTCGTGTGTGTGTGTGTGTGTGAGTGTCTGTGTGTGTCCGTGTCTCTCTCGTACGACTGTAATGTGTTTGTTTTTGTTGTGTGTGTTTCGTGTGTGTGTGTGTGTCTTGTGTGTGTGTGTACGCACTCAACTACAGATGTGGTGCTGGTAAAGGCATGTTTGGAATGAGGCCGTTGTTGCCAGTGTAACAGCAGCTCGGTGGGAGCTGTCGTAGCCTCGTGTGATGTCAGTGGGCTGCATGGTTGTCCACATGGTGTCACTCCTCATGGTCCTGTGAGATCATACATGTAAGATCCTGTGAGATCCAATCCTCCAGTGAGTCTGTGCTCAGATACTGGGTCAGTTCTGCCTGCAGGTTTTGCAGCGTTTCTCTGGCACAAGTGCAACATGTGCTGTGTGTTGGTGAGCTGTCGAGGTGCTGATACTAGAAAGCTTTTTACTAATACTTATATTTGTAATTATTCAGAAGAACATGTTTTTCAGATGACAGGAAGGTAATTTTACAATAGGGTGTGCCAGAATCACAGTGAAATGGTCCTGTACTTTACGGAAAATTCTTTTAACCCTTTAAGGCCTGACACAGCTGATAAAACAGACCTGTAAAACCTATGGCCGACTCAGAACCACCTCCAAAACCTGAAATTCAACGTCTACAGAATGATTGATATCTCGGCCTCTGTAGCAGATAGAAACATAAATTCAAAAGTATTTGAGAGCTGACACATGTGGCTTTCAATAAGAATGCAGTGTATTATTATAAACCTTCTGTAGAATAATACAAAAAATATACAACTTCCACACAGGAAAGGTAATAAAACACCCAAAAATAATGTGAGACTAACACATGTTTCTCAATACAAAAAGTCAAAAAAAGAGTTCGGCAATAAAGGGTCACTAACTATGTGGAATTTTTTTTTTTTTTAAATCCACTCTCAGGCCAAAAGGTGGAAGAGACATGGGGGAGAGACGGGGGAGACAGGCAAGACCCGCACGTGCAACAAGCTGGGGATGATCCTGATCGCGCGTGTATGATTCTGTCCGTGCGTCTATGGTCCGCGGCACATGACCACGTTACGGCTGCGCGTTCGCTGAGCTGTGTCAGAGCAGCCACAGCCTCCCGGGGTCAGAACGGAGGATGTTGATCCCGTTCGAGTACGTTACGCAAACAGCCCGTGGTCACACATTTCACCGAAATGATATTTTCAGAGAGAAAAAGTCGGAATTCGCGGATCCGCAGATAATTCTCATCACTGGTTTATGTTGATGTATTTCATTGGTCCAGAGAATTGATCAATGAAGAGAATAGGCTTGAAAGGTAGAAACGCGGGAATGCGTTCCCAGCCTCAATGGGTTAAGACAGATGTGTCAGTCTACTATTGGTAATCTCTGATACCCAGGTTTAATTGTTTTTATTATTATCCTTTTTTAAATGTTTGAACTTGTTTATTATTTAGAGCGTGTTTGTTGTGTTTAACCCTTTATTGGTTTCCTCAACCATTTGGTGGATCACTTTTTGAATCGCTAAATCTACTTGAAGCTTGGAACTGAAATCTACGTCATTAGGACATCTCTATCACTTGGTTTTAGGCATTTTTACCATCAATCTTAATCTTAATCTTAACCATTTAGAAAAGGCCTAAATTGAAAACTAGGGATTACAAAAAAATGTATTACTGCTCCTACATCATAGGGTTAATTCAACCGCACCAGTGAGACACAGCAGGTGCACCTTGAAGAGAGCATGCATATCGGTTTGGTTCAGTCTTATGTGTGCGCTTCACTGTGTGTTGAATTTCTTGCACCACTGAAAGTAGCTGGTGTCTTTGCAGCGAGCGGCTTCCTCAAAAGGCTGACCCCGAGGCAGACTGACGTAACCAAGCCTTCTAATCTGTGCCATCAGCCCCTCTGACCACCGCCCATCATTCACACACCAGACTCTCATTGTTATAGTTTAATTTGCTATCCTGGGCCTGGGTTTGTGTATATTCTCATTCTTTACTTAAAAATTAAAATAAATTAAAAGACTGGTATTATAGTATACATTTTTATTTGAGAACGTGGCCTAAAAGCGGTTTCTGAGCTTCTTAAAATCAGTCCGAAATACTTTGACTGATTAAATCACACTGATTCATGAAGCTAATGTCTTGCCAGCCCTGGTTGCAATAGATCAGTTATTTCAAGGTACTTTTCACCACACAGTGTAGTTATACGTCAGCTCATGTCCCCGAGAGATACCGAACGGCTGCAGAAGGAAAAGAGGACAGGCCAATACAAATCCTACATTAATCAGAACAGTTGCGCCGCGCGTACAGATGACAAGGGTATTTGGGATGGAACCTAATTCTTCTAATAGAGCGACTGAAACCATGTCATCTCCAGTG